TTTTGTAATGTGGATTTGTAGTTTTTTGACCCACATGCAGAATCACACGGAAAACCAGTGCATTTTAACGGTTTATTTACAAAGAATCTGGAAACCTAATAACTGCATAAGGGAGATGGTTGATTACAACTGATGACTGATTGATTTGCTTACTTGAAGGGGAGGTAGCATGGATCTGTAGGGGTTTGATTCAGCGGGCCAAGGTTTTATGGAATTGTAGTAAAGTTAATAACTAATTTGAAAAACAATGAATATAAAATTAACAAAATACAAAAAGTAAGGGCCAGGAAATAACAATAATAAAAAAAGAAAGCAAAAATATATATGTATATACATTTGAGGTTGTTGTCTATTTTTTATCTGAAAAAAAAACACCCAGTTATTTTTCTTTTTATATGATCCTTTTTCTCCACTTTCTCCCAATGTAGTCTTTTGTTATCCGTTTTCCCCAATGCAATCCTTATTTGTAAAAAAGCACAGAGTTCATTTGTTCCAGTAATGAGGAAAACCAACAGAGATGCAAATCAATGTGTCTAGTAGAGGGAAATAATTAATAGGTCCTACCAGAGGCGCTTGCCACCGCTAGAAGAGGAATCGTCAGTTTTGATGACTGGGTTGAATGTCATCAAGTTACAAGCAATTTCTCTGTTGTGTGTGTCACAAGTACAGCACAGATGTGAGCAGTGAAGCTGGCTACAAGTGCATGGCAGCATCTGCTTTTATCATAAGGCATTGTGTGTTTTGGGAAGCAATTGCATGTCTACTGCAGGTTCAACTTCTGGTACTAATATCAAGATTCGGAACAGAGGACCCAGTGATCAAGGCAGACAGACACTCAGATATCTCAAGCCTTTATTTAAAAACAACAGATCTGCAGTAACAGCAAGGACAGCTAAGGCAGGAACCTCTTCAGGAGGAAACACAGGTTATTGACCATGTTAATGTAACAGAGGATGATTGTGAAGGCGTGAGTCACTAACCTGTTTTTTTATAGTTCAGTCCGTGCCCAGAGAACGAGGTTGATCGCAGTCGGTAGGCTATCAAACAAGATGTGATAGGTGCCGCCCATAGAGTCCCAGACACTATAGTCCCAGAGGACAGAGAACCAGCTGGAGATCAGATTGTAAATTGTCGTCTTCTCGATTTATAAATCGTAAGATATGTTTAACAGGTCTTTTCTCAGGTGCTGGTTAGATTTGAGAAAAGTATCCACAGAGTAAAGCCAGATATCTATGAAGAGTTCTAAGCGATTTATCTGCATGTTCATGTTTCACTGTCTATACAGGTAAGTTAAGACCTTTCTTTACCAATCTGATCTCCATTTATCAGTCAATTTTATGTTTTCCTCTTAGTCTCACATTTTGAACTAGTACTTGATCTTTCACTTGAAGCTCTGATGCTGAAACCTTGCAGTTGAAACAGATCTTGTTTTTAGTAATTTTTTTGTATTTTCGGAAGCTAACAGGTAACTGCAAGTGTGTTCTTAGCCTCTGAACATATTCAGAGTGATTCTGTCTGGATTTACGCAGCAAAAGGCCACAAATAAGAGAATCAAGGTTGACATCCAAACATCAGCTCATATGGTGAAAATCCAGTCATGTCGTTTTCATGCAATTATACGCTAATATATGTTGACAAAGTCCTTCCTATGTAACTTTTCTTGTTCAGCCAAAGTACCAATCATGTCTAACACAGTCCTGTTACACCTCTCCACCAGGTTGCCTCTTGGATGATATGAGTAATTCTGATCTTGTTCATTCCTGCCAAAACATTAAGCTTCTTTATGGTAAATCAGGTTCGTCATTGGATTGGTGACGTATCCTATGGGGGGGAGTGTTGACCTAGTGTTTAGAGCAGTGTGCTTGTGCGCTGAGAAGGTTCCAATTACCCGGTTCGATCCCCACAGCATGCACTCTGGGCCCCTGAGCAAGACCCTTAACCCGACACTGCTCCCCGGGTGCCACACAGTGGCAGCCCAATGCTTCCCAAGGGGATGGGTTAAATGCAGAGTTGAATTTCTCCAGTGCGAGATTAATAAAGCTCAGTTATTATTAATTATTATCATTAGTTGTATTTCTGCCCTGGGGTGCAAAAATCTTTGGCCATTGATTTTTGTTAAAAGTTGTACATGCGCAATAGCTCCTCTACAATTCAAACTGACAAGTTGAGTTGTGGAAGTTGGAGACGATTATTGGTGAGAGCAAGAAATTAAATGGAGCAAGAACAATTTAATTAAGTGAAGTCCCTTAAAGCAAGAGAAGCTGGAGGTGAAACCGTTTTGACCTGATCAGCCAAACATCTAAATTAATCAGCAGTTCAAAGACAGATGGAGACAGTACACTTTTTCCAGGACCTAGTTTAGCTACAAGGCTTGGCTAACTGCATGCAGCAAGGCTAGCCCTTTATTCTGCTTTCCCTGACTCTTTTTCCTAGCATGGATTAAGACAAGTGTGACTGATTTAAAGCACTTTTTAGAAAAGGCAAAGTAACATGAATAATCTGGGATTCACATGGAAAATAATATAGTATAGTCTCCTTGTTCTAGGTTTTTGTTAATGGCAGAGTTTCTCTTAAATAAACACATTCTCAGAAAATAAACAGTTTTTATATATTTAAACTATTAGGTAAATTTTTTTTTAGGTTTTTTACACCCTATTGGAGCATGCAAAACAAAGATTTGCCTTCAGAAAGCCTCAGAAGGGCAAACGTTATTTGCTAAAAGTAAACCTGTACATGAAATTATGTTTCTTTTTTTTTAATATAGTGTTTTTATAAAGTTTTTTGTTGTTGGCATTCATATAAATAAACTGGTGTGATAACTGAGGACACATTTGATTAATTTTTGGTATTCGTATATTTTGAATTTATAGCCAGTCGCCACTGAAGCAGAGTGATGAAAAAGTTGTCCCTATGTCCTCCATCAACTTAAGCCTATAGCACTATAACTAGCAGGATAACCTGAGCCACTCCAACAACAAGCTTTTTTGAAAAAGAAAAGTTATAAGTTTGGTCTTAAAAGTAGACAGGCTGTTGGCTGCTCACATTAAAACTGTAAGTTGTTTTCGAGAAAAAGGATGGTTAATTAGTTAATTTATCTGCTGAAAGATGCCAATGTAGTTGTTGCAAATTCCTCCTGTAGACCTTTGTGTTGTCAAACAGCTTAGCGATGTTCTGTACCTCCCCCTGATGTTGAGTATCCAGGCTGATGAGTGTTGTCCAACATAAAAGTCACTTCATGAAAGTTACATTTGAAGGGACTTGAGTGTCACTGTTCTTGCATGCCAAAAATTCAATTACAGGGCCAAGCTCCAAAATATTTTAAGAACTTTCCAGTGGCTCAGCCACCTCACCTCTTGCTGGTAAAGCAAGAGGTAAGGTGGCTGAGCCACTGGAAGGCATGTTTGTACACTGTATGAACCTCCTCCAAAAGAGCCCTGAACTGATGGTTTGAGAATGCTTTTGTATGTGTGTAGCTCATAACTCACACTATTTCAACTATTGGGAACAATCTGGCAAGAGATACAGTCTTTAGAAAGCTTATCTAAAACCCACGAGTAACTTGTGCATAACTTTTGCGTACTTTATCAAGAACTTATCTCCAACACATATCAACGTATCTGACATGTTCCAGACAACAGCTGAACGTGTTTCTAACTTATAGCTATCGTTTAATAGCATATTTGCAGTGTTTAGTTATAAAAGGGGGTTCACAGGAGGAAACTGGCAGTTCTCCTCCAGACTCCATCCCTATCCTAGGGTGAGCGAGAAGATGAGTGTAAGGGATCATCCCTATGTTCACGCTCAAGCCCACGACCAACAAACTTCCTAGCAGACATGACACTGAATCTGCTGCGACTGCAAACTCTCTTTCTTTCTTTTTCTCTTTTTTTTTTTATTTATTCTATTTTTGTCTGTGCAATAAACAGCAGCCAGGTTAATACCACGATCAAAGATACAATTTTATGCAGACCAGGAGCATTTCTGCTCAGCTTTAACTGATGCTTGGTAATGCCCATAAAATGATGCTTGTGCATCATTTCATGGGTATAAGTAAGGCTGTAGTTGGACATAAGTTCTGGACTCATTATGAATACACTATGTGTACGCCCAAAATTGAAAAAATACATATAAAGTTCAGGGTCCTAAAAAATATGATAATGCTACTGTAGATGTTCAAAGTTGTGATGTGACAGGTTATCCAAGTACTATTTGTACTTATTTCAGGTATTCCTTTTACCTATTAGACATTGTTTGATGCATAGTATAAGAACGACATTACTTTAAATAACAACATCACATTATGACTTTGTGTCATACTGGTAACACATTATAATTCATGCTCAGACTAATCTGACCCACAAAAATGTGTGTAAAAATAAGGTCTGAATTTTTCCTTTTCTGTGAAAATGTGCAGGAATAACATCAAATGGGGATAGGAAACCTAATCAGAGAAAATGCTAAGCAAGTTTGGTAAGATGAAACTAGGAAAGCTGTGGAACTACAACAAGTTTATGTAGATAAAGATTAACCTGGATATCTACCAATTACCAGCCAAAGAGGGAAATCTAACAGAAATTATTTTTAAGCTAAGAAATGAAAGAAAAGGAAGTAACTAATAAGGAAACACTTCAGAGAACATAAACAACAGGATGAAAAAAGTCGAGAAATAAGAGAAACTCTAAAATATAAACACTTGAAGAATGTGACAGAGAGACCTAATTACCAAGAGACAACTTTACAGATAACCAAGAATATATTGTATATAGATTTATGCATGAAACATAAAATAATCTATGATATATTTATGTGCAAATAGATAGATAAACATAATAGATTTATTGTTTGGTTGCTTCTTGGAGAATTAATGTCTATTCTGTGTGAACTGGGTGTAAAATCAATTATTTATTTATTAAAATCTCAGTGAGAAATATTGAGTGAAGATGACCAACATAGCTCTTAGGTGGACAATGTTTTAGCCTTTGGATGTTTTCTGTCTGCAGGTCTTGGGATGAGTTTCATGACTGTGCTAACGCGGTGATGGTTGGCTGTCCAGAGGAAGCGGCAGCTGTATGGGAGTCTCTTCGCCAGGAATCCAAGAAGATGCAGTTCTCTGGAAACCTTTATGACATGTGTTCCAACCGAAACAGCCACCCAGCAGACTCCATCTCCCTGAACCAGGAAGAGCTCAACCAGGAATCTCTAAGAGGATGTGCGGTGCATCTTGCAGGCTGCCTCCATCTTCTCCTGCTACCGGCTCATCTCCTACTGATGCTATTTTGGATATAGCTGCCCTGAAGAAATGGGATTAGTGTAAATAGAAAAAAAACTTTGTGTAATATTCCATTTCTCAAATCCATAGACTTTCCTTCTGCTTCTTCCTCTGCTCTGCCAGAGGTTGCATATTTGTAACTGCATGCTGAGATGGCCAAATGGTCCTTTTGATAACAAATATCTTAACTCCATTTCTGTTTCATTATTACTCTCTACCATTAATAAGTTGATCTATTGGAAATGCTCTGTACCTCTCTAGAAACAGCACAGCAGATACACTTTTAGAGATCAACAGTAAAGCCACTTGTCTGTCTTTATGCCCTTACACCTTGAAAATTCAATTGTAAGTTTGCATGTAATGATTCCAAAAAAGTTCCTACATGTGATTAGATACGTATAACAACAAAATCACAAGCAGCACATTAATATTACAAAGGATTTATGAGATGTACTCAATTGTTTGCAGAGGTTTAAGACTAAATTTGTGTTCTTGTCCGTAAAAGTGTAGTTTCTGAGCTCCAAATATTGACTGCATCAAGGATCTGTATTTTTCACCAAATTGTGGAAAGAATTAGTAAGGGCAAGTATATGTCCAACCGCAGTTGAAAATAAAAAGTTGGTCCTTTGAAATAAACAACTGGTGGAACTGACTTTATAATTAAGGAAAAAAATTTTTTGCAGGACACAAAGAGAATACTAAAGCAAAGACTAAAGAATGCTGAATAATAATTAAAAAACATAAAAAAAGAATAGTTAAGCAAGAAGTGATTCAAAGGTGATACAAATCTTAAGAGCAAACATAGAATAACATAAATCAAAGTATACCTGAAAACCCAAAGTGAAAACTGGAACAGCACCTGAAAGCAGCCGATTAAGACAGTAATCTGGTTGTAAGGAGGGTGAGAAATACTAACCCTAACCCACGAAGAGGCGGTGCAGCTTGAGACCCACAAAGAGATCCCTCTATAGACTCACCAAGGGGGTGATGGTGAGGGACGTTCATCGACTTGGAGACAAGGAGCTCTCACGGAGGGGCCCTGGAGACGAGAAGCGCCCACAGAGGGGCTTAAGCTTCTATAGCTCTGACTCAAGAAAAGGTCTAACAATGAGCACTGGTATCAGAGGGTGGAAAACAGACGGCTCAGGGGTCTCTGGATGGCACAGAGCAGGCTCAGGGACCTCTGAAGAGGGTTCACAAAGAGGCCCCTAATCTATAGAAAAATCACTAAATAGCCCTTAATCTGGAGAGCAGTCACTAAGGGGCCCTTAATCTGGAAAGCAGTCACTAAGGCGCCCTATATATGCAGAGGAGGACTGAGATGGCCCTAACTTTATAACCTGTATGTTTGTCCTGAGTGTCCTGCCTGTTGTTGATTGGATTCATTCTTCCGTTGCTACCACATCAAATAAAACTATAAGAACTGTAGCTGCCTCCGTATTTGCATTTGGGTCCTCTACAAACCTCCACTCTACTTGACAGTGGTACCTTGATGCTACCCTGGGCCCACTGACACCATATTTTTGAGCTCAGCTATATATTCACCCTGCAATGAAGCAAAGCATGTACAATTTTCTGACTGGAGCCTCCACTTGCCTACATGCCAAGTGAATTTTTTGCTTCAAGAGTGAAAGTTGGGTCCTGAGAGATGCTTGTATTCTACGTGACTCCAGGTAACTGGCCTAGGATCAGAAATACTTTCGGATTAGAGGAAGCCTGAGTGATGAGCACACTTAGAAAGCAAACAGCGTTCAGCCTATTTGAAGTATGAATCCACCTTTCTTCCACCAAGTGGGTTTTACACTTGGGGCTTTAGGTTGTAGGTTTACTTTCCTCTCTTGACAAATAATCAAAGCCAGGATGACTTTAAAGGGTTATACAAAGATGTATAGAAAAAAAGAACTTATGGTTTCAGCCACATTTTAAGAGCAGAAAAAAAATTATAGCATGAAAGAAATCTAGAGAGAGCCTACAGAACTAATCTACCTTGCCAGTGGCAAGATCATAAAATATGCCAAAAAGTGTTTCATTCAAAAGAAAGATATTGTAAGCTTTTCTTTTTATGTCACTCAGAAGCTCAAGAGAAATAGAAACCTCCGACTCTCAGTTTTTCACCTGGATTTTAAAATACTGAGATTAAGTCCAGCAGCTAAAGGTGAAGGAGAGCACTACGGGCAATTTCAAGACTAAAGCGAAAAGAAACTAGAGCCAGCCCCCAGCTTTCTTTTCCCCTCATGAGGGACTTCACCCACAGATATGCTCGGATGGTTTAAGAGGCTTCTGGAGTTTTGAACTTTAATTAAACTGACAGAATTAGCAATTAGAGGCCTGAGTGGCCGACTCACCAAGGAGCAGCAATTTGAGAGCTCAGATAAGATGTTGTAACTGCAGGCTAAATTTGTGTAAATCACATATGTGAGGCTTAAACTAGGAGATAAGACTGAGATTGTTTATATAAATCTGGGTGGACTGAGGTGTGATCTTAATCATCATAAATCAGCAGTGTTTGGTGGGAATATGTTTTCCTCCAATGAGATTTTCTGTACAGAGATGCTGTAAGAGAAAACCCATGAAGTCTGTTATGAGATGATGTGTACTTTGGGAAAAGATCTGATTTGAGCTTGCAGTGGTTCTCAATAACATTGTTGGCCGGAGCAGAGTGAGAAATTATTTTTCAGCACTCGACATAAGACTGCACATTACATTAGTGCATCACACACTGTCCCATCAGAGAGACACTATAATAGGAGTTATTACAGTGGACAATTGGACATTACTACATATGAAATAGTTTATTTTCTTCTCTCTGCGACACTTGTTTTCTACTTCTTGTCAGAGGAAAACATAAACATTCATCTGCTCGAATTCTCATATAAATTTTATAGGCTTCAAAAGTTGAAATGTTCTCTACCAGAAGGGAAAAGATTATAATGTCATTTATATTGTCAAAAACAAAATTTCAACCCAATCTGGTCATTTTTCTGTTCTAAGAATAACAATTTGTAAAAACATTCCTTGGGTATAACAGCTCTTGACACTAACAGAAATTCAAATGAAAATCTGTAGTTTTAAACTTTTATCAAATGTATTCATCTTTTCTTTTTAAATCTAAACGGGTAGTGCCCAAGTCCAGTCCTCCAGAAATACTAACCTCCAACACACCTAAATCAAATTAGCGCTGCCCAAACCTGGCAGCGACCTATTTGGGTGAGAGAAAAATGTCTTTAAAGGACTAGAAGGTAAGCACTTTATTGTGAACAGTGTTGGACTGATAATAATGTGGATTATGGAGAAAGTATAACATATTTAATGTAATATTAATATTGATTTGTGCAGGAGCAAATTGAATCTTAGTGACAGGTAGTGGCTTTTTAAACAATATCTGTAAAACAAGCTCAACTTGTGGACATCTTTTCAGATCTTCTTTCTAACTGTAGCTGTGTCCAGCATTCAGGGCTGGCATATAAATCGAAAGATCAGAATAAGAATAATCTGTAAATATGTGATCCTGTGACATAAACCTAAAAGTTTAATATAATGTGGATAGAAGAACTTTGGAAACCTTAGGAACTGCTGGTGCCTTTTATTTCAAACGGAATGACTCAAGATATGTTGTGGACAGACCCAGGAACAATTTTTGTCCAAAACTGTCAAACGTTCTGTTTTAATATCCTTATCCTGGACTAACTAGCTGTTCTTCACATCAGGCCAGACAGGATTGTTCTTCCATCCTGCAGACTCAGCAGTTGGTTCTCCCAAAGGAAACTTTGTCCTTGACTGTCTTTAAATTTCATCTCTGTCCCTTCCCTGCTTTACTTTCTGGCCTTTTCTTTATATATGTTCCATTATTCTGCTCCTTATTCCTTTTTGACGGATCTTATCCTGTGCTTCATCATACAGACAGTATTACTACCTCTGTTTGCAAAGGAACGGATATTAGTGAATCTCCTCATTATTTCAACCTTGGTAATCAAAGCAGAACAATCCGACCTGAGGAGCTGTAGTAGAAGTATTCTAGAGTCCTTGGAGCAGAGGTTGCAAATATATGTATTCTGGGTTGTACTTACTGAGGAGAGCTGTTCAACACAAGGCTGCTAACAGCGGCAAATCAATGACAAATTACAAAGAATTAGAGCAGAAATAAACAACTAAATAAAAACCCGAGAGGCAGTAAAACGATTTAATTCTGTTAAAATACACTTTTTGTAGCTGAAGCAAACTCCTTTTAATTCGAACGATCTATTTCTCTTTCATTTAAATTCACCAAAGTATAAAAAGAAAGAAAAATCTCATGAAATAATGATTTACAATATTAATATTCACATGTGCTGCATATACAAATGCTGATCAGATGCAGTATAAACCAGATACAATGAACTGCATGAATTAGCTACTTTTGGTTGAAAGCAAGTTATGGTTGCATTTTTTTCAATTACATTATTTTCAGACTTGTTTTTTATTTTAAAGATAAAAAATAAACCTTAAACAGAAGAAATCGAACAGGAGTTAGAATCAGTTCTAGTCACCAAATTGTTTCATACAATGAAAGATTTTACTTCAGTTCCAGTTTGCTCCTGATTAAAACGTTAAATATACTAATAAAAGGAAATAAATATTTTTGCAATATATTTTCTTGCTAACATATATGTTAGCCCTCATGTTTCTAAAGACATGGTTGGATTGGTTGAAACAAACCTGTTATTCATCCAGGGGAAGATTGTGTCTCTGTGTTTACCTTTTTTTTTTTTTTGTGTACGGTGCTAAGTAGCGTTGACCTAGGGGTCAAAGGCTAAACAGTTTTTGTCCAGGATTTATTGTGCCTCGAGAGATTTAAGTAATCATTTCCTGACCTGGACAGAGAAAATGGCAGCTTTCATGTTCCTATCTACAGATCTGTTTATTTTTTTAGGACCTATACTTTTATGAGGATGAGCCAAACTACATAGGGAGTGATGTGCACAAAATGCACTAAATAAAAACAATGTAGGAGATAACCAGCAGCCCCAGCAAGGTTGAAATTTTTTTATTTACCCTCTGCCAAGCAGTATTTATTGTTGAGAAACAGCTCAGGTTCTGAGCCTGCTTTGTTCCTAGCAACTAGAAGTGATCCATAGGAAGTTTTCAGGATCGTGAGGCGAGGCAGGGAGTCAGACTGCCCCTCAGACCAACTGATCCACCTCCTGTTGTTATGTAGGCTTATCACTACCATGAATTGGGCCGGTGACAGTGATATCGTCTTCACAGACAGCTCGGCTGAGTGGCAGTCGGTTATGTAAAAGCAGAAGAGGAGTGGGGAGATAACATACCACCTGAGGGTCACCGGCGCTGTTTTTTGATGTCTCCGCCACTCAGAGATGGGAAGTAGCGAAGTACAAATACTTCATTACTGTACTCAAGTAGATTTTTCTGATATTTTTACTTTAC